CTCAATTCCCCATGGAACAGGTTATGCACTAGCAGTTGTCCTAATTCCAAATGATTTTTGGTTGAAAATAATAACTTACATTTGCTCTAATATGAATTGCATATGGCCAGAGTCTCCTCAAGCAAACATTTACACTGCCTGAACCAGTTCTATGTGTGGGAGGGTTTCTGAAGATCGAACTCTTGGGGATGGTGCAAAGAGACCCAAGGAATAGTTTATACTATCATTGGTACTTAAACAACCTTTGCCTTTGTAATACTGCATGTAAATGTGCACAGAGAACAATAGAGATCAATCTTATTCAACCCAAAAAATTTGGGCATCACTTACCACTATATATTGGTTAATTGTTGCAGCCTGCATCGGGTGAGCATCCGCGGCCAGTCCCTCGAACCGGCCTTCGACATAGAGACAGTTGAAAGGGGCAGACTAATACTTAGGCACCAACCTTCAGCAGTTATTGATGTTTTGAGGCAGATTCCCCTTCCCTCCACGGCTGTCATCAGCCTCAAATTTTTTATTGTTGGCCTCAAATTCGTTCAAAAATCAAGCAGCAACCAATTAAAAGCACAACAAAAAACGAAAAGCAGATAAACACAACACCAACATAGATTTTTCAAAGGACAGTTCATGAACAGATCAAAGAATACAGGCACACTCTACGAGATCAAATATAAAAGACATGAAATTGATAACCCAGTTCGGTCATAAAAGACCTACATCTGGGGGATTCCAACCCAGGCACGACTTAGCTAAATCGAAAACAAGTTAAGCTTACACATAGCTGTGTTCATCTCCCTCAAGAATTGCTAACACCATTCAGCAAGATTATCTATCCAACTAAATTGGGCCTTCAGCAAGATTATCTATCTTTTCAAGAAATCACAATACAACACTAGGTTGTTACAACATATTGCCTTTTTTCTCCCTGGACGGGACCAGCCATATCTTTAATATGGGCCTGGAAAAATAAAAAATAAATCGCATTTGGGCCTTCTTGGATTTTGGACCTGGACTCTGGAATCCAATCAGCCGTCCACTTTCCTGGTACAAAGATTTAGAAATATCAAACCAGCCATCAATAAAAAAAACAAAATTTTAAAATTCATAAGAAACCTGGATGAACTACAATCCACGTTTTATTTCTTTCATGGAAAAAAAATGAAAAAAATTGAAACTTCTTTCGGAAACAATATAACCCATCACAGGAATAATATATAGTGTGAGAGAGAGAGATGAAGCATGTATATAGAAAAAGAGAAGTGTTGTACTTGTACTTACTACATATTGAGGACAGGAGTCCTTGTTTTGTTTATGTTGAAACATTGGGATATCATCCTTAGGCTTTGTGTCATCAAACAAGATGGGACCGCGGCTTTCTTGGCTGCTCACGTCCACCATCTTAATGAAATAACCATGCCTGTCGGACAGTCCATCCAATAAAATATTCAGCGACGGAGGAGGAAGGGAATAACTTCAGAAAATATTACAGTTCATTTCTACTTAAGGACAAGAAACAGCGCACCTTCGGTTGCCAGCAAATTTCCCTGCTTTATCGCAACGATCACTTTCTTTTCAGCCGCAGCACTTTCCTGGTACACAGATTTAACAATGTCAAACCAGCCATCCGTCGAAAAGCAAAATTTAGAACTCATAAGAAACCTATATGAACTACAATCCACCATTTTTTGTTTCTGCCGTTGAAAAAAATTTAAAAATTCAAAACTTCTTTCGGAAACAATATAACCCATCACATAAATAATGTATTGTGTGAGAGAGAGTGAGAGAGGAAGCATGTATGTAGAAAAACAGAAGTATTGTATTTGTACTTACTAAGTATTGAGGAGACGAGTCCTTGTTTTGTTAATATACTTAGCCTTTGTGCGCACAAACAAGATAGGACTGGGTGCTGTCTGGCTGCTCTCGTCCACAGTCTTCATGAAATAACTATGCCTCTACATCCAAGAAAATATTCAGCGACAGCAGAGAAACCGGATAGCTTCAAGAAAACATTAGTGTTCACTTCTACTTACGGATAAAAAACAGAGAAACAGACAGACCGTCGGGTGTCTGCAGTTAGCTCTAGATGACAGGCGGTTGCCAGTAAGTTTCTTTGCTTTATCACAAGGATCACTGTCCTTTCACCCGCATCACTTTCCCGGTACACAGATTTAGCAAAATTAGACCAACCATCCGTCGAAAAATAAAATTTTAAAAATATAAGAAACCTATACGAACTACAATCCATCATTTATTGTTTCTGCTGTGAAGAAAATAATATATAGTGAGAGAGAGAGAGTGAGACAGGGAGCATGTATGAAGAAAACAAAAATATTGTACTTGTACTTACTACATATCGAGGAGAGGAGTCTTTGTTATGTTAAAGTGGACACATTGGGATATCATCCTTAGGCTTGGTGTCCACAAACAAGATGGGACTGCTGTTGTCTTGGCTGCTCTCATTTCATGAAATAACTATACCTGTCCGACAGTCCATCCAAGAAAAAATTTTCAGAGACAGAGGAGGAAGAAACATTAGTCTTTTGTCATTCCGTGCTTGACCATCGCCTCAAGAATCTTGTCCTCAATCTCCGGCATCGGCTGCTTTGAGATAGCTTTCTCATTTGAAGAAGAGCAAAACACTAATTCGGATAGCCGCTCTTTCTCAGCTTGCCGGCAATATTTGTCCGCCTCAGTCGTGCCAGCAGTCATAAGATGGTAGGTATGAACAAACTTGTTTTGCCCAATCCTATAAGCTTCACAGATTGCCTGCTGCTGGACAGAAGGATTCTAGAGAACGTCCAGAAGAATGACCCTGGAAGCCCCAACCAGACTAATGCCTTCAGAGCAGCACTTCGTCGACGCCAGCATGATCTTCGAATCATTTTCTGGATCGTTGAATGCGTTGATCACATTCTGGCGTTGCCCTCAGAGCAGCTCTTTCTCTAGCCTTGCATATCAATTCCATCAGTTGGCACTTGCGACTTGCATCGTTGGATAAGGCCCGGATGAACAGATACCAAAGAAAATCCAAAATCTTAACTCTTAATTGTTTTCCTTAGTCGTTCCCTTTCCAACCAGTCGATCAGATTCTTTTGCAATCCAGTCGATTTCAAGAGGACGACACATTCTCTTAATCCGGGAAGACTCTTTTGCAGGATAGAGCCTTTGTGCACATGCACAAACGGCGACATTGAGACTTTAAGCCTCTCCACTGCATGGTTGATGGATTCCAGAAGCAAAGCATGCCTAGATCTCCGGCATTTCCTATCTGAATGCAGAATCTCAGTGAATGTCGGGTCCTGCATAGCTGCTTCTGCAACTGTAGGCCTTACGATGTTCAATGAGTTGAACAGCTCTCTAAAGTTGTTCTCGAAAAGAATCCCAGACAATATAACACGCTTTTCGGTCTTGAGCTGGACCAGTGAAGTCCAATTTTACTTTGTGTGGAGTATGGCCTTCATCAAGAATCACCAGTCCAGGCATCTCAAGAAGTATTGACCTCAGAATTTCGAAGTTCTTTTCAACACCCGACCTCTGCCCCTCTTCGCCTGCATCTGCTTCCACGTTTTTCTGCGCCGTCAGTTTCTCAAACAGACTGTAGCTAATCCCCAAAAGGCCTCCCCCTCTCTTCCATGAATATATCTTTACAATCCGGATTGCCTCCATGTCCCTCCATCTGATACTCGTTCCTTGAAGGAGATGATCAGCAGCCGCGATCTCGTCACCGATAATTGTAAGATTGTTCAGGTTGTGGAAATTAAACCCGGAATTCCACTTACTGAACTCCCCTTCCCAGTTCTGAAGCAATCCAGCCGGGGCGATGATCATCGGCAGACTGTTTAGATACATCTTTAGATATGTCTCGAGGAATACGATCATGAGTCGTGTCTTTCCTGTCCCTGGGGCATGAGAAATGATGCATCCGCCCACTCCAGCTATATTTGAGTTCTTTAAATCGGCAATATCGGTACTGCCTGCCTAGTTCCTCCAGAGGAACTCAAATCCTTCTTGCTGGTGTTCGTACATACTTTCCCGCACACCAGCCTTGATGCTCCACACTGAGCCGCTAGTCCAGCTGCTTATATCCGCTGCATCAGCTTCTGGGAGATTAACGGCGCTAAGATCCAGACCCTTCCCTTTCTCCTGCTTCTTCTTTCCGGAAGCATTACGAGCTTTGATCGCCTGCGATAGAAAGAAGAAGAAGTGGTATGAATAAGGGTAGCTGCACAAATTTTAAATCAACCTAAAATTGCACTGACCTACATTCAGATAACAAATTAGTATAGAATTAGGGATGGTGGATAATTAATTAAAAGGAACAATTTTGATGTTCCCCATAGTCCGATGGTTTTCTGATTTCAGTTATTTAAGGAAGAAATTGATATATACTTACCTATGGAGGAATTACATCCTTCGGTTGAATCGCCACATGCTGACAGTAGATACAAAACCATCCTCGATCGTCTTCGAATATCAATTCATGCAGCCCTCGAGCACACCTGCGCTCCTGAGTTTCTTCGTCCTCCTCATCGTCTACTCCAAGAACCTGCAGGCCATGAATTGATCATTAGTGATCATTTCACTTTCTGAATAATTATAATAATAGTGCCGATTTAGTTCTCAATCCATGTCAAATCAGTTCTTGTCTATTGTTTGAATATTGAATTATTCTACACAAGTGCTGGAAATGGTTTACTTACCTCACGGCTGGCAGTTGTTCGTATTTCCTCAACAGCACAACTAAAGTTGTACTCTTCAAACAAGTCTTCCATCTCCTCCGCCCGCTCAGCTTGTCTCTGTCCCTCTTCTGTGAGTGGCACGACATCGTCCTCAAACCGAAACTTCTTTGGAAGAGGAGGGTAGCCTTCAGCTGCTTCTGCCGCCCCACTCCCTTCTCCAGTATGCATTGATCGAGACGGTTGTCCGAGAATAGATTCCCTCAGGATTTTGGAGATGTCAAATCTTTTAGGCTTCAGCTTCTTCGCTTTAGCCCCCGTCATAAACTTCGTCATCTCCTTAAGCGAATACGGCATATCTTCTCCATCCCCGCCACTTTTGCAAATCCGTGTAGATTTCGGGCTCCGGGCATCCTTCAGTTTGAGCTGTTTGAAGCTCTTCATCGACCGGAAGGCCATGAAAGTTCAATTTGAGTATCGAATAAAAGATTCGGAATGCATATTTAGTGAGGAAATTGTTCAGAAAAGGCATTCAATATCTACTTGTGCGTACTAATTGAATCATTGAGCTCATTTTATAAACTTTGTTAATCTATTAGCACCTTATTGTCAAAAGAAATGTGTCTTTCGTCATGTCTTTGGACTCTGCCAGTGCTCAATGAACCAGCCCTTCCGTCGTCCATATTGGTCATTGACGGAGATGGCAATTCCCTTCTCTTATCCATTGATTGATGATTATTCTACATAAAAATATAGAGGGGTTAAATATAGTGAAATGCTTAAAAAGAAAAAAAGAAAAAAAAGACACCATGCATGTTACTAGCAATAAATCCGCACTCCTTAGATGCCGTGAAAAAATTAAATGGACATTTGGATCTTTAATTTCCTTTAGATTGCGTTCAATATCTTAGAGTGTCAGAATTTACCCATTACTTGTTGCTTCTGACAACATGAAGATACACATGAAAACTTATTCAAAAAACTTATCGGCTCCGATCCCAAAATAGTATACTACATACCAAAGGACAAACATCCAACTATAAGCGTGTATGTTATATAATATGTAAGAAAGATGAAGTCCTTCCAAAGCAAAATAACATTTCATAAGTGAAAAGAACATGTAAATGTCTAGTGTGTATATATATCACGTAGGACAGATAGAGTTCCTCCGGCAGAAGAATCTAATTATATATTTATATTACTATATGACATTTATAAAAAATATGTATAATAATAATAATAATAATAATAGTAATACTTCAATAATAGAAAGCAAGATATATCAGAATGTAAGGACATATATAACAACATTCACTTTGAACCTTTAAAAGAACAAATGCTTCATTTACACTATTTCAAGAAATTATAAATAAAAATAAATATAAAATACAAACAGCCCTAGTTGTTCATCTATCAAATAATCAAGTACTTTGTTATGTTTAACAAAATATGTAACTATATAAAATCAAAATGTAAATACCAACAACCTTCTCTCTTTCTATATAAGCAAGCTCCCTCAAAAAATATAGCCGCAATGTTGGGAGATAATAGAGTATTAGTAAATTTAATACTTAGCAATGGCAAAAGCTTCAAAATCACTTATGTCTTTTGATGAAAAAATAAGATTTTTTTTCCTATGTTTTTTTTTATTATATTCTTACACACGGGACATTTATGTGAATATTTAAGATAATGAAGCATATCCCAATTACTTACATATCCAAAACATGGTTATGAAAAATTAATGAACATGTGTAATTGAAACTTTATACTTTTCTAAGAATCTAAGTTAACAAATGTTTATACTACATCAAATAATAAAATACTATCAAACTATGTAATATTTGATCAAACATTTGTTGAAACATTGAGTAGGTGTTGGAAAAAGAAAACAAATATGAAAGTTAAGTGAGTCATAACTCCAACCAATACAATAAAAATCTACTCAATGCATAAGATTAAGATCAGGGAGATACTTATGTAGCTAAAAATTATTTTCTTTTAAAACAATATATTCCTAGAGTAAAAAATAAGCGCAAAGAGGTCAACATAACACAATGTGCAAAAATAAATTTAGTTATGTTGATCGAAGGGTGAAACTTAACTTCCAAAACATCACATATTGAAAAATAATAATAAAAAAATAACATTAATGAAAATCGAAGAACTTTGAAAAGAAAGAGAATATAATATTAGGTAAAGGAAGATGGGTTTTTCTTTTTATATATTTATATATATAAAAGTAAATAAATAAGCATTTCATTTCTTGAAACACAAGTTTTAATTCTGAAAATCTAAGAGATTAAAGAAAGAAGATCACATATGTATACCTGCTTAGATCACCCAAATAAAAAACAAATCAAACAAGAAGAGCACGATGCCGCCAAATATCTGCAAGAAATTGAGATAGAAAACATCGATGAATAAATTAATCATTCATTCAGCTAAAGAAAAAAAAAAGGAGACGAAGTTCGAAAAAGTACATCCATGATCATGTTGAGAAATAAACTTGATCTAAAAAATAAAAGTTGGAGGACTATAGAAATTCATTTTCTAAAATAAATAAATAAATTACAAAAATGTAAGAACAATCACAAGTGGTAGATAATCCAAGAAATCTGCCATTGTAATATCATATAGATTGCAAAAGTAATCAACGTCAACATCTTGTAAGAAAGATTGAAGTGACTATTGGATAATCTGGAATAAAATTTCTGAGAATGTAGTAGCATGACATATAAATATAAGAGATACAAAACATTGATAAAAGGCTGCGATACAGACAATAACAGGGCCTATAAGTGTAAATAGATGTTATTGAAATGCATGGCCAAATTTCATACCACAAGGGACCTGTTTTGAGAGAAAACCCTTGTTGTGTTCGCAGAAATTACTGATCTTTACCCCTTCGTATGTTACGGTCAATAAAAATATTAGAAATCTTATTATGTTGTCGCTGAAACTAGTAAAGTGCCTATAGGCTATAAATTTTGTATATATCTAAACAATAGTAATTTTACCGTTCATTTTAATATTCGTGGCAGTCATGCTTTGCCATTTGTTTCAGTATTTTCTAATTCTATTCTAAATCATGTAACATTCATGTGAAGAATTAGTGATCATGCGAAAATCGAATATTTACACTAGAGTTTGTCAATGGTAATAGAAACATTGAGTAGGTGTTGCAAAAATAAATGTAAAGGTTAAGTAGGTCATAACTTCACACTGTATGATAATTACATAAATGCAACATGTCAAAATTAATTTCTTACTTGCTGAAATCAATAAGGCTAGCATACAAGAAGATCGTATGTAACATATAATGATCAATTGCCTTTGTTTTGTCTTTTTTCTTTTAAGAACTTCAATAAAAATAAATGTGTGCACTTAAATAACTCACCAAAATGGTACAAGGTGCCACTAACGGAAGATATTCGAATCAGTCTAGGCGATCAGTCAATAGCGAAAGGATTGTAAGAACGATCTCCGTTGGTAGGTAATTCAAAAAATCGGCCGTTGTAATATTATATGCATTGCAAAAGCAGTCAAACGTCAACATCTTGTAAAAAAGATTGAAATGGCCATTGGATAATATAATCTGGAATAAAAGTTCTAAGAATGCAGTAGCATGACATATAAAAAAAAAAAATACAAACCTCTCATAAAAGGTTGGGATACAAACAATAAGGGGGCCTATAAGTGTAAATAGATGTTATTGAAATAAACGCCCAAATTTCATACCACAAGGGACTTGTTTTGAGAAAAAAAAAAAAAAAAAATCCTTCTAATCTTTATTATATTTACCCCTTTGTATGTTACAGTCAAAATCAAAATGAAGGAACTTTAAAAGAAATAAAAAATAAAATGAAGTACAAGAGGAAGAGTTTTCTTTCAAAAAAAAGTAAAATAAAATAAAAATAAAAAATTCACCAAGTGAAACCCTAGTTATAGTTTGTGGAAATCTAAAACTCAAAGAAATGGATACAAATCTGTAGTGTTTGCTTAAATTAATCAAATCAAACAAGAAGAACAAGGGCGACCAAGAATTTGCAAGAAATTAAGCTACAAAGCAAAGATTTTTTAATCATTCTTTCCGATTCAGAGTAATAGAGATGTAGCTCGATAAAAGTGGCTCCAAAACAACTTGAAAGGTCGATGGATACACAGAAACACATACACACCTCTGAGCTCTGTTCGTGAAATTCAGGTGGATTCGGGGAAATTTCGCTAGGGAGAGAAGGAGAGGGAGAGTGAGAAGAAGAGGGAGAGACTTCCGACAAGAAAATGCGACTGAGTTTTTGGGATTTGGAGAGGGAGAGAAGATGACGAAAAAGAGAAAATCGGGATTAATGGTATATTCTTGAGGTGTTTTCTGCTTGGGTTTTGTTTGAAATTTTTTATTTTTATTTTTTGTTTAAGCCCATTAATATTATTGTAGTGAACACCTTTTTTGGTCATTCCAAATATGATGAATAGTGGGACCCTAAGCTAATCGTTGGATATCTAAAGTAAAGTATGTGATGCATTTGATTTACCATAATTAATTGCATTTAACTCCTTGATAACAGTCGCAATCAGTCCAAACCAAATAACTGTAAATGAAGAGAACCAGAAAAAATCAATAACTGTAAATGAAGAGAACCAGAAAAAATCAATACCTCTAAAGCAATCTATGAAGATCTTAATCGCACAAATGACAAGCCAGAAGAAATAAATAACTCTAAACCAATTTATGATGATCTTAATTGCACAAATACTATAAATCTGTAATTTAAAAATAAGTTACAATATTATAAAGACATGCTGCCTTGAGAGGTTTGGCAAAAAAAACAATACATTAACAGGTAAAAGTGTTAAAAGTTTCACTGATCAAATGCATATTCTAAATATAGTATATTCCTATGAAATAAACGAACAATTAACCAAGTTGATCAAGAATCCAATTGTCTTCAATGTGACATATCACCAAAAAGAAATGAACAACGCAATAGTCACAAAATAATTAAGAATACTACAACAAGAATAAACATAACTAGAATGAACGAGATAGAACATAATTTGTGACTAGCAACAAACCCATCAAACAAATCTAAAAAGCAATAAAAACATGCAACATCCCATATTTTTATTCCTTGTGTGCTAATACGCCAATCAACAATTAAGAGACATGACAATAGAAATAAACAAACAAATTTGAGAAGAACCAAACAAATTTATTCTCTTGCACGTCGATGTTAGCCTGGCAACAGCAGACTATAATTGGCAGCTACCGCATCTCTGCATCTTTACACCCTTGTAGATTTTCACCCTTGATTGGGCTTAATTTGAAGCCGAATAACATAATTGCATTGTGAATATATATATATATATATATATAAAGTATCTCCAAGGTTGCAAGTGCATTAATAACCTTAATTCAGTCAAACACAATAAGAAAACCAACCTCGGTGTGTCACATAGTTTGTGGTGCAAAAGGGTGAGTTGATTTCTTGAGATGAAAATTCATGGGACTTATTTGATCAAGATTTTCCATACTTTCTATTGTGAAGATTATAAAAAAAAACTTATGGTCTTTAGAAACCTTACTCAACAAATGAGATATTAGAGTTCCGACCGGATGAGAGAAACTGAACCTAATGTCGCCTACACTCGACTAGATAGATACTTTATTGGTGTTAGTACTACGGTATGAGGATTAACTTCCTATGCAATTTGCGAGTCATTACTCTGCCTGGACCTATTGGATTGGAGGAGGGTTTCTCACTATTGCAAAGAGACTCAATGAACATCTCATACTATTATTAGTAAAATAATATTTACTACAATTTTGAGTCTTCCATACTTTCCTTCCTAGTAAACTGATTTTTAAGATTTCATCAAATTTTAATTCGATTATAATACACAATGGAAAATAAATTTAAGAAATAACAAAAACAATATAGACTTTTAAATTGCCAAAAGCAAAACAATGGTTTTATTTTCTTCTCTTCTTCTTATTCTTAATTTAGAAATAAATATACAACAGATAACAAACAATAAGTTTCTTTTTTTGTTCGTTTTGTTTTTGTTTTTTGTTTTTTTTTTTTAAGAATTAGAGCAAAACATCGTCAATATCAAATTTAGACATATCATATCATTGTAATAATGTAAATGGGCTTTAAAACTAATTATAAATAAATCCAAAGTAGAAAACACCTGAAAATTTAATATTTCCTACTAATACCATTGTCATCCAAATTCCTAATTTTCTCTTTCGGTCAACTAATCTCGCTCTCTCTCTCTCCAAATCTCCAAATCGCAGCTTCTCGTTCGACTGTCAGAAGTCTCTCTCTCCCTCTCCCTCACCTCTTCCTTCAGCAGGCATAAGGTATGTATTTATATGTTTTTTCGTATCTAATTACCTTCTAAGTTGTTATGGTGGCACTTTTATGGAGCTTCGTCTCCATTTCTCTGAATCCGAATACATTATTAACATCTTTCATTTTTAGCATAATTTGTTGCAGATTTTTTATGGCCCTTGTTTCTTCTTGTTTGATTTGATTAATTAATCTAAGCAAGTACCACAATCTGTGTCCGTTTCTTTGATTTCTAGATTCCCCAAACTAAAACTAGGGTTTGCGCAAATGACATATTTTTTTATTTTTTATTTTTTTGTTTTATTAGTTTAAACTCTTTTTCCTCTACTTTATATCATTCACTAAAAAAAAAAAAAAGTCCCTTGTGGAATGAAATCTGGCCATTCTTTTAAACATCTGACATCTATTTACACTTATAGTTCCGTTATTTATATGTTTTTTCGTATCTAATTACCTTCCAAGTTGTTATGGTGGCACTTTTATGGAGCTTCGCCTCCATTTCTCGGAATCCTAATACATGATTAACATCTTTTATTTTTAGCATAATTTGTTGCAGATTTTTTATTGCCCTTGTTTCTTCTTGTTTGATTTGATTAATTAATCTAAGCAAGTACTACAGATCTGTGTCCGTTTCTTTGATTTCTAGATTCCCTAAACTAAAATTAGGGTTTATGTAGATCACATCTTTTTTTTTTATTTGTTTAAATTATTTCTCCTCTACTTTATATTATTTCCTCAAAGAAAAGTTCCTTGTGGTACGATATTTGGCCATTCTTTTAAACATGTGACATCTATTTACACTTATAGTTCGATTATTGTCTGAATGGCAGCACTTTGTCATTGTTTTCGATCTCTTTTACTTATATGTCATGCTGTCATGCTATAGATTTCTTAGAATTTTTAGTTTCAAATTATCCAATAGTCATTTTAATCTATCTTACAAGATGTTGACGTTGACTACTTTTGCAGTGAATATAATATTACAATGGCAGACTTTCTAGATTATCTGCCAATGGAGATCTCATTATTACAATCC